ACGGGGGCCTCTGGGGAGCCGGGCCGGGTTGGGCGCGGCACCCGGGCTGTTGCGGGGTGGGACGCGCCGCTGGCAACATCTGGGCACTCCTGCGCACAGGCCTCAGTTTCCCCGTTGCTCATTGGACGCGCGGGCGGCGCTGCGGGCCCGATCCTGATCCAGGGCGCGGGAGTTGGGGCCGCGTGTGTTCAGGCAGTGCCATGTCACCTGGAACCGGGCGTTGCCCTGCTTGAGCCTCAGTATCCCCACTTAACACTGTCGGGGCACGAGGGGATTTGTGAGCCCCGCCCCACTAGGGGGTTTTGCTGAACTTGGGCAGCCAAATTAAATTCTGTTAAATGACCTGGGTGAAATCGCGTCGCCTCTCCCAACGGTGTGTGACTTTGGGCAACTGAGCCCACCCCTGTGAGCCCTAGTTGCCCTCGGAGATGACTGTCTGCCTCGTAAGGGTGATTGCGGATTAAATGAAGTGCTATACAAGTGTTTGTTCATATTTTTGGAAGCACTGGGGAGGCCCTCATTAGAAAACTGATTTCTGGCCCCTCCCTAGGACTTCATTACACTTGGAGAAACTACCTACTCCCACCCAGCGCCTCTTACCGCTATTGGTTGACACAGACAGCATTGTGAAATTCTGATTCTTTGTTATTCCTATTTTCTGGACGAGAAAACGGATCTGGGAGGTGAGGTGACTCTCCCAAGGTCACACAGCCTCCGTCTCTGCGTTTTTCCCCCATAAATATATTTGGAGCAGGTACCAGAGCCCATGCTGGGTCATTTCCACCCTGTATGTGGGCCAGACTAGCTGTTAGGGACGGCTTCTTGCAAGCAGCAGCTGGTAGGGGAGTGTGCCTGGAATCCCTTAGCTCTCATATCTGGGAACCAGAGACAGAGAAGAGCCCTACTATGAAACAACCGTTTCCCACAGGCTCAAAGCCTGCACCTTCCAAACTTAAGCTGTGGGGCTCCCACCATGTGACTCTGTCCTTTCAGAGCCCAAGAGCCCTCTTTATATACATGATCATCTTCGGAAATGTAGAGGCTGTGGATATCAATACCTGGCACATAGTAGGAGTAAGCATGGTGATTATTGGGTTGGGAGCGGATTTCATTAGGTGTGGCAGTTTATCACCAGTAGGCATGTAGAGGCTGTAAACCTCCAGCCAGATTCAGGGCACAAATAGATATATATTCTTTGCCTCCATGGTGTTTGGGGGGAAAAACTATTAATTGCTAACATTTTTAAATAAGGCTATCTCAGAGGATAAAAAAATCTGTACTTCAGTTTTTTTCTGGAAAAAAATCAGAAATCTGGCAGGAATCAGCTGCTGTTAAGAGGCAGCTGTCCAGTCACAGGTGGATACTGAACATCTGTTCAGAGTCACATGTTTGTGGGTCTGGTGGACCATGGGCGTTTGAGTTGTGACTTGGGCTCGCTGGCTGTGTGACCACGGTTTAGTTCCTTAGTCTCTGAGCCTCAGTTTTCTCATATATAAGGATGATAACAATTGCCAGTGTTTGAAATTGGTGTCTTGTTTAGCATACAGTAGGAGCTCAGTAAAGAGGAGGGTAGATTAAGTGGGCTCTAAAAGCCCTTCCCAATCCTGTGTGTGAATCTTAAAACAGTTACAAGTAGGCCTTCCTGTTGGCTGTTAAATGTGCAGACCCCAGAGCCAAGCCGCATCGATTCTGGGTTTTTCCTGAACTCCCTCAGGAGCGTCAGTGCTGAAGCTGTGACCCCTCCTGCTCTCACATATTCCAGCAGCCCCCTTGCCCCACTGGGGTGGCATCTGCATGCCAGGGAAGCTGGGAGCTACAGAGCAATCTGGATTGCTGAGGCCCACAGCCTGGCTGCCAGTACCTGAAATTCTTGGCTTTAACTTGCTGATGTAAGTCTTAGCTTCAGAGCCGAGTTTGAAAGCTTTTTTTTTGCCTCCACCAAACTAAATTCTGGCAGTTTCTTGCTGTAAACTGGGTTCTGGGCTGGGCTCTGGAGACAGAGCAGTGAGCAAGAGAGACATGCCTCTGTCCTACTGGAGCTGACGTTGCTGTGGGGGTGACAGGCAAATGGGCAATTGATGACTAAGATAATTTCAGGAAGAGATGGACCAGGGGAGCAAGTAAAACAAGGTGAAGTAATAAGAATGACCAGAGTAGGGGCAGTCATCTAAGACCTCTTGAGAGAGAAGGCATTGGAGAGGGTGATGATTTGTGGGGGCAGCCATGTATGTTCTACCAGTGGGGCCAGCAGGTGCAAAGGCCCTGTGGTGGCAGAGGCAGGGGGATATGGGAAGAGGGTGGCAGATCTACAGAGGAAGGTGCCTGTGGCCTTGGGCTCATGGAAAGTGGGGGGTGTGGAGGTGGGACGGATGATGGGATTCTTATGTACATGGGTGCAAGTTATAAATATGAATTCCTGTAGTTCTCAAAACATCCCTGAATTCCTGGTAATGACAAAGGTGAGGCTCAGGTAGCATGGCCTGCAGGGTTCCCAGCCCCTCCTCTCTGTCCCACCTTCCCTATTTCCTGGTGCAGACTGAAGACTCTTTCTTCCTGCCTGTTTCAGGCAGCGGAGGAGGAAGAAGAGATGGACCCCCCGGACTCGGCCTCGAGGGTCTTCTGCAGCCGCATCCTGAGCATGGTGAATGCAGACGATGTCAATGCCATCATCCTGGCCCAGAAGAACATGTGAGTGGAGGCCAAGGGAGGGCCCTGGGCCCCCGGCGTGGGAAGGAATCCACTCGCTGGTTAGCATTCTTGTCCTGCCCGCCTCTACCCCGGGCCCACACTGGTGATAAAATGAAGGAAATGAGCAAATCTGCTGGCTGGCTCCAAAGTAAATTCCGTCCTGGCCTGGAGGCGAGGCCTTGGCATGGGAAGCGGGGCTCTGGGACAGTTTTGCAGCTGCGGATAGTTTGGCGGGGCCGCAGCAGCTCCTGTCCCGAGGCCTGGAATGGGGAGTGTCGGGATGATAAGGAAGGGGCTGCTGGGGGATTTCAGGGGGCCAGTGAGCTGACTTCCTCTTAGGAGCCTGTTCTCTCAGAGCCTAGGCTGTCTCTGCAGAGCTCCTGGGGTCACTTGGAGGGGCCTTGAGTGGCTTTTGACCTCCTTAAGGCTTGGCTCTGTGGCTGCTGCAGCCTCACCCTAATTCCAGCCTGCTCTGTGGGGAGGAAGGACTGGCACACCACTGGGGTGGCAACACAGTCTCCTAGGGCTTCATTTTTGTGTTTTTAAGCTGAAGGCTCTTCCTTCCATTTGTGACATGGCACAGACCTGATACCTTACCTTTCTCATCCTGTGACAGGAGTGCTGGATATGGCTGGGTCTCGCTGATACCAATCTTGCTTGTATTTTTTTAGGTCAGATTCAGACCTGGCTCTCTGGAACCCCCAGATGGAGGGGAGACAAAATAGACTTGAACTTCCCTGGTCTTATGGCGTCAGGGCTGGGTCAGAGAAACAGCTTGGGGCTAGGGAAGTCAGGAGAGTCAAGGAGTCTGCTTAAGGGAGAAGGTGAAGTGCACACTTGAGTAGGGTTTTGAAAGCTGAACAGCAGTTTGCTAGATGGCTCAAACAGCAGATAGGGCTCCACAGGACATGAGAATGGTACATGAAAGGGCTTAGCACAATCAGCTGGCAGGGTCCTGGAGGAGTCAGTGCCCTCTTTCTGCTGCCAGGCTGGACCGCTTTGAGAAGACCAACGAGATGCTGCTGAACTTCAACAACCTGTCAAGTGCCCGCCTGCAGCAGATGAGCGAGCGCTTCCTGCACCACACGAGGACCCTGGTGGAGATGAAACGGGACCTGGACAGCATCTTCCGCAGGATCAGGTAGGTGCTCAGCCTCCTCCTCCCATGTGGAGCCTCGGGTTCCTCCCCTCTTTAGTGAGGGCCATCCTCTCCACGTATCAGGGCGGTGGGGAGATTTAGCTTGTTTGCTTTCCTAGGCTTCATCACACACTTAGTATTAGAGAAGACCTGAAAATCTTGGGAGTTTCTGACTTTAAATTTTACTTCTCTTTTGAAAATGCAATGTAGCGCCCAATGCATAATGCAAAAGGCAGGCAGGAGCAGCCAGTAAAAGGCTAGCTTCCTGTCCCCTTTGGTGCCCACCCAGTTCTTCTCTCAAGAGCAAGTGAGATTGCCAGGTTTATGGGTCCTTCTTGACCTGGTTTCCATGAGGACAGGGAAAGATGATGTCCAAGTCCCCAGCCACACAGAATGCTTGGCCTGGCACCCGGAGCTTGCATCATCACTGCTGCTGTGAACAGCTGTGGCTGGGCACCAAGGCCTGGACCAAGCTGGTGCCGCAGCTGCGCTCCCTGCCAACTGTGCCATTTCCTCTGTTCCGGGGGCAACTGCACCTGCTCACAGAGCAGGTGCCACAGATTGAGGGGAACGTGTTTCCTTGAGCAAGTTCTGTGCAGAAATCACAAGACAGGCCAGTTAAATCCTTTATAAAAGCATATCTTTTTTGGGGTATCTCAGCAGGTGGGCTGCCCACCTGTGGTGTTGCAGGGGTAGAGGTAGAGCAGGAACCCCAAGGGGCGACATCTTTTGTATGTGTCTGTATCACTCAGGAAGGAGGGAAGTGGGTCCACCCAGGCAGGGACCCAGCAGCAGTGGTACTTCTGTGGAGAGGAGGGCATAGTCAAGGGTGAGACGCTGCTCTGAAGACCCTTTTGTAATTCCTTGTAAACAGGACTGCATTACTTCAGGTGAAAAGGAAAAAAACAGGTTAAACATGGAAACGGGTGCTTCTCCATGAACTTCAGTTTAATGAGTGCCATTATTTGGTATTTGAGGTGTGGACAGTCAGCACTCCTGGCCCCCACACAGGCATCCTTACCCGGGGATGGAGAGACAGCTTGGGACGAGTCACCCAGAGGAGTGCCTGTTGAGAGGGGAAGGGGAGCTTCCTGGAAGGTTGAAGAGTTCTAGACATAAGGCATTGCAGGTAGAGGGCCCAGCCAGCCCACAGACCCAGTACTGAGGATACATGGAAAGTGTGGGACAGCTGAGTAGCTGCTCTCCGTCCTGGGGGTGGGAGTTCCACAGGGCCAAGTGCCTGGGCCTCCCTCCAGCTGGGGAGCAGAGTGTGACCAGCAGTGAGGGGGAGTTCTCACCCCCCCACATCTGCCCAGAACTGGCAGCAAGGGTTTCTGCCTGCACCAGGCCCAGCCTGTCCACTTGGCAGATTCAGTCCTGTGTGCCTTCCCTTCCCCTGCAGGACACTGAAAGGGAAGCTGGCCAGGCAGCACCCGGAGGCCTTCAGCCGTAAGTGTCACCTAGAGCTCCTGCGTCCTGCGTCTGGGCTCTGTGCCCTTGGATGCCAATGCCCTGGGCCCAGGGCTGGCTTCTGGATGGTCACCTCAGGGGTTGCCACCAAGCCTAGGCCTTGATGGGCAGTGGGTCTGGAGAGACCTGGGACAGGGGTTGGTGGGTGGGGGTGCTGGCCTACCCTTGGCAGCCTGCAGAGCAGCTGCTGGGACCAGGGTCTCTTCCCTGGGGGGAGGTCACATGAGGGAATGTGGACAAGGATGATAGTCTTTGGCCTAGTGAGTGCCATGTACCCCTAAAAGCCAGGCTGTTACCACGCCCACCTGCGAGGTGGGAAATATGAATATCCCCACTTCACATGGGGGACTGAGGCCCAGAGGGGCAGTGACTTGTCAAGAGGAAGTGCAATGTCCGCCACACTGAGCTTCAGTTTACCCACTGCTGAATGGGCCAATAGCTTCCCACTCCATGACTGCTGACAACCACAGGCACAGAGGCAATGCTGTCATTCCCAGTTTATAGAGCAGGGAGCTGAGGCATGGGCAGGTGAAGGGCCTGGCCCAGGTGACACAGTCCAGAGGGCAGAGCCAGGCTCAGGCTTATTCCCAGATCCATGTAGGTCTGACCCCAGAGAACCTGGGTCCTTACCTCATCTCTCCTTGAAGGGAGGCCTCTTACCTGCCTTGGCCTCAGTTTCCTCCTCTATGAAATGGACCAAGTCATGTCCTGTGGTGTGGCGGGAGCTGTCAGGGGTCATGGGCCCAATTAATCCCTCATCACACTGCCTGCCATGATGACTAAGTCAACTCGTGGGCCTCCTTCCCCCAGACATCCCAGAAGCGTCCCTCCTGGAGGATGAGGATGAAGACCCCATCCCACCTAGCACCACAACAACCATTGCCACCTCGGAACAGAGCACAGGCTCGTGCGACACCAGCCCCGACACTGTCTCGCCCTCCCTCAGCCCCGGCTTCGAGGACCTGTCCCATGTCCGGTCCAGCTCCCCTGCCATCAATGGCCGCAGCCATACAGATGACGAGGAGACGCCGGGCGAGTAGCCCTGCTCCCAGGAGCTTGGTAGGGTCTCAGGGCAGCGGCAGCACCACTCCCCAGATGTCTGAGGTGGCAGCGGGTAACTCTGCCTCAAGACAGTCAGCTTTGCCACCCTGTTTTGTCATTTGGAGCTCTCTGGGGGACAAGGCTCCCTTGCTGGGGTATGGAATTCCTGGGATCTAGCATTCCCATTCTAAGAACATCTCTCCTCGACCCCTCTGCCAGGTCAGGGAGTCCAGCCCAGCTGGAGTCACTGGGTTGGGCGCAAGGTAGCTTTTCCAGAGCCAGGCCTGAGGTCTACTCTGAACAACACTTAAAGGTTCCCAGAGACGAGAGCCAGATGCCCCCTGACCCAGCACCCTGGCCAGGACTTCTTCAAAGTAGACAAGCACTGTCCTGTCTGAGTTCACCCCAGTCCACCCCTGTACCTACTAATTCTGGTCTCCTTGCCCCTTCCTCCAATGAAAGTATGAAATACTTTCCCCAGTCTCAAGGAGGTTTCTAAGATAGTCATAGAAGGCTCAAGACAGGTTAGCCAGCCACTCAGCCCAGAGCCTGAGGTAAGGCCCATGTTTCTCTGACCAGAAGTGTGTACCCTGAGGGCCCAGCAGGCCTCTCCTGGGGCCTTCATGGAGCAAGCCGAGCCACCTTGGAAAACAGAGTTAAGTGGAGTATTTTTGTAACCGATGTTTACAGATGCTGTTGGGAAGTTATCAATAAAAAGACTCTGTTACTAAAAAGGGAAAGGTATACCTATTAGTGGCTTCCTTCCATCCTTGGGCTGAGCAGCCCAGAAGGTGGACAAGTGCTGGATGTGGACAGGACGGTTATGGACAGCCAGGCACCACTGGGCTAGAAAGAAACATACATGGCTGCTTTGGGTGGGAGTCTCCTGTGATGGCCATAATAACCCCACCTCCTATCACCATTTAGGCCTTCCAACATACTATTCCCACTGCCTGAAACATTCACTTACCTCCTAGAATAACTCATCCTCCACTCAGCCCCAGAGTGGGCCCCTCAGGGAGCTAGACTGGGTCCGTTATTAAAGGCATCTTCCCAGACCTCAGAATGCCTGCTTTTGCCTGGTCCATAGGGGGCGCTGGGAAGTGTTCAAGGCAATAATAAGGTATGCCGCCAAACCCACAGGTAACTTCACATCCTCACCTCTTTCCGGTGCCCCGTACTTTTTAGCCACCCACAAATCTCCGTCCTATATCCAGAACAGACCTGGTCCCACCCCATTTCCTTGAGTGAATGCACCTGCCCCACCTGCTCTCCCTGCTCCTGTATGCACCCACCCTGAAATTCATCTGCAAAGCGGCCAGAGAGCCTCCAAGGCTCTCAGGGTGTCGCACGTTTGGCCCTGCGTCCTGGACACGCAGACCGTTTGCTTTAGCACAAAACAATCTCCTCTACTCTGTTCAAGTATTTCCAGAGTACCCGCTATGTGCCGGCAGTCCTCAGCCGGCCTGGAGACAGCGGGCAGAAACACCTGGAAAGGTGCAGCAGTCTTCCGACGTGACCCGACAGGCGGGGCTCACACCCGGATGCAGATGGGCGACGGTCGCCCACAGGCGCTGCGGCTTCGTTCGCCGGCACCCAACATGGTAGCGGGGCGGGGCCGAGGGTGGGGCACGCAGCGTGGCGCAGATTGTGACGTAGGCACGCAGCGTGCTCGGTGCGCAAGCGCTTTCGGTGGCGAATCGGCGGTTTCCGGTTCCGCCGCCCTCTTTCTCTTCAACGAGGCGGCTGAGCAGGTTGGTGGCGGCGGACTTGCGCGTTGGCCCCCAAGTCGGGCTTGGGCGGGAGGTTGCGGGTGGCGGCGGCAGTTTGGCCAGCGGAGGGGGCGGCGCGGAACCGGTCTATGCAGGCCAGGCTCTGCGAGTCGGCAGGGTCGACTTAGCAGGGCGCATTGGGCGGGGGTTCCAAGTCCAGACTGGGCCCCGGGAGGGAAACCGGCTTTTGGAAGAGGAGCATGCCCACTCCGCCACCCCGAGCTATCCAGCGAGGCCTCGAGGGGAAGATGTGTCCCCCGGGGCAGATCCAGTTTAACGGGAAAGCGTATTAACTGTAGTTTTTTTTTTTTTCTGAGGCAGATACGGCCAGTCCCTTTAAAAATACTAAACACCTGAGTTGGGTCTCTACTTTTCTACATCTGTAAGGTTGATAGTACCGACTATTTTCTAGATTCCCCCCACATTCTTGGAAAATGAAAAAGTAAATGATATCTGTAAACAAGTATTAGGCACGTGGTTGGCAATTACTATTAATAGACTGGATCAGAGGCAGGAAATGTAGTCTGAGAATTAGGGCATAACTTGGAAGGGAGCCCGAGTTTTGGGTGTCTGAGCTTGGAGACTGTAGGGAGGAAAGTGTGTGTTGGAGGGATGCTATTAAGGTTAAATTCCTAAGCTGCTGCAGGAAGAGCAGGGGCTGGCGGAGAGGAGGAAGGATGGGATCTCCAGACCATCCTTCGGGAAGGTGTTTGGCAAAGTGGTACCCCAGCCCTGTACTCATTCCATCTTTGAAGTTGAAGCTGAAGGTTTGGGATGGTGGAGGGAAACTGGCACGTGGGTGGGCTTGCTTGGGGTCAGTGCAGGCACAGGGCTAGTAGTTGAGACTAAAACTGGCCAGCCCGTGAGCTTGGGCTGCTCACATCTGCAGTGCTCACCACTCTGTTCATCCATTCTCCCTTCTTTTTCTCCCCAGCAGACGCAGAGATGCAGATCTTTGTGAAGACCCTGACGGGCAAGACCATCACCCTTGAGGTTGAGCCCAGTGACACCATTGAGAATGTCAAAGCTAAAATCCAAGACAAGGAGGGTGAGTCAGACTCGATCTGCCCAGTGGGAGCCCCTCAACCCAGGAGATCTGCTGTCCTGTGTGGAATGGGTGCTGGGCTTGGACAGCTCTCAGTCTTTCTAGTGCTTCCTCTGTGTGGGCTCGGGAAGGCAGCTTATCCTCTCTACCTCAGTTTCCCTTTTGACAGATTGGGGGTAATGCTGGAGCAGCCCTGTGGAGAGAGGCGAGAGCTGCCAGTAATATGCTTGCCAGTGCCTCAGCAATTAAATTGCTCTCTCCCTAGGCATCCCACCTGACCAGCAGCGTCTGATTTTTGCGGGCAAACAGCTGGAGGATGGCCGCACTCTGTCAGACTACAATATTCAGAAAGGTATGGGGCTGGGGTGGCTAGACAGGACCCCAGTGAGGCCTTTGATCCAGGATGGGGCACTGACAGCCTCTTTGACACCAGGGGTGGAGAGTGTGAGAATGGTTCTTAAGGTAAGGATCAGATGGGGGTAGGGAGTGTTGTTTAGTAAGATATTGTTTATTACTGGAAAGCATCTCTTTTTAAAACTTACGTGGCTTTTTTTTAATAACTACCGTAAAGAAAATCAGCGTCACTTTTTGCAGCAACAAGATTTAACTGTCTTGCCTAGCAAACAGAAGGTTATCTTTGCACCACTTAGAAATTGCCATACCTGTAGGGAAACCCAGATGAATACCTCCATTGACATAGCCTCAGACTCGCAGAAGACTGGTGGGAAATGACAAGATGGAGTTTCTGTGTGGTGGGATAGGCCCAAGTGTCCATCTACACATAGAACACTCAAGGGATTGTGACGTGTCCCTGTCACATTTGAGAAGCTCTGATCTACAGGGCACTGGAGGCTGCCCTGCACCTGTGGGGCTAAGGTGCTGAGCCTACACTCAGTCGCTGTCTCTCTGACCTTCATTTCCTGTAGAGTCCACCCTGCACTTGGTGCTTCGTCTGCGAGGTGGCATCATTGAGCCTTCCCTCCGCCAGCTTGCCCAGAAATACAACTGTGACAAGATGATCTGCCGCAAGTATGTGGTCTCAGATGTGGGGAGTGGGCTGGCCCTTGTCGGGAGATCAGGGTGTGGCCTCACTAGTCCCTCCTGTCCTTACCCAGGTGTTATGCTCGCCTGCACCCCCGAGCTGTCAACTGCCGCAAGAAGAAGTGCGGCCACACCAACAACCTGCGCCCCAAGAAGAAGGTCAAATAAGGCCCCTCCACCGGCTCCTCCTTTGCCCGCAAGGCGGCCTCTTGCCCTAGCCCCATGGCTCTGGGGCCTCAATAAAGTTTCCCTTTGATTGACTGGAGCAGTAACTGGTGTCCTTGTGGCTGGTCTGTCCAGTGGGGAGGTGTGGGCATCTCCGTTAGTGACTTCCTGTCACTCAATTCTTCATAGTCCTTGGGGGTCCACTCTCCTGGGTTCTAGTTGTCTCATGTGTAAGATGGGCCATGGCCCCTGCCCTCCATGCCTGAAGTTGTCATAACCACAGCACGAGCAAGGTTCAGTCCTGGCCCACTGCCATATAGCCTAGTGAGCCTGCCCACTTGAGTTTTGTTATCTGTAAAGTGGGAATTAAGACCTCCAGCCCAGGGACTGGTAGGACCTGGTCAGGCATGTTGACAGCCCTCATGCCTGAATCTTGGAGGTGTTCAGGTGTGGGTAAAAAGAAATGCCCCACCTAATGTAAAAACACCTGTTCTCAATTTTGACTGACCATTAGCTCCTAGACCCCACCCAACATCCACGAGCTCTCTCTGGGAGGGCAGTCTGCAAATCAGGTGAGGGTTGTTGCACCCTGGCAAGGCCATGGGTTTTATTTCCCTTGGGATGATTGGGACTTGACAATCAAGGCCTGAGCAATGATGCCTG